TTTCCAGCCATCTTTGAGTACCACCCAATGGTTCCCGATCAATCCCCAGTTTTCAATTGTTTTGATGGGTTACATCAGTGTTGAATCATCTGAATCCCCATTTACCCTCTGGTAAACATACAAAAAGCTGTTGATTTTATGGCCATAGAAATAGTGGATTTTCCCATGAAAAATGGAGATTTTCCAATATTTTCCATAGTTATGGGACAGTTTACCAGAGGTCAATGGGCCCCATTTTGGACGGCGTTTTTGGTGCCATTTCTCCATGGCATTTTTGGCGCTTCCAAGGTGCAGGAACTGGACCTGGGCTTCGCAAGCCAGGTAGGCCTTCGGCTCACCGAAGAGTCTGGCCCATTCCTCGGGCCATGAACTGGGGGTATAACTGGTATCAAAATGGGGTTATCACGGAAATATCACATTTTTTGGTTTCATCATACTCAATGGGAGTTCATCAACAGTTCCATAATAGTTGATATGTCAATTAGCCTCTGGTAAACATACAAAAAGCTATTGAACATGGCAATTTATAGTTGATTTACCCATTGAATATGGTGATTTTCCATAGTTATGTTAGTTTACCAAAGGGTATTTCATATAGAAAATTATGATTTCCCAGTTTGAATAGGAAAATTGGATATGATATCTCATTTCTTATATGTCTTTTCCATTAACTCACATGTCTGTTCTATTCCATTATAAAACAATTAATGTTAGTAAAGCAATAGTAAACCATCCCAAATTTTACCACAAATGCAACCATCAAAGTATGGGTGGTCTATTATTGCTTTACTAACATTAGTGCATTAGTTAACTGTGTCACGACATATGAAATCACCAATACTATAATGGGATACTTAAATATTATACGGGATATTATCGACATAACCTGTCACAAACTATATGATATCAACTATTCAGCCAATATTAGTTCCATTAACTCTAAAATATTATCTATGTTCCTTGATCTGGGATATTGAATCAGTAATTCACTATGGGGTATATGATTATATATGTTGATATATGAAATCTATGATGGGATATGAACTTTCTATGGGATATCGATCTATATATTCAGTGTTACAAGGTGATGCCCCCCCAGTCCTAAATCATTTCTTATAATCCCATGAACTATAGATATATCATGATATATCACCAACAAAAACCAGTTGGTGACATTGGACTTGTTTGCACCAACCAATCGCGATTCCGAACTGGGGCACCACCCTGCGACCTTTCCGAGGCGCCGCCTCCTTGGCCAAGAGCTTCTTCTGCTCCGCTTCCGACATCTCCACCTCCGTCTCCTGCAGGTCCTGGAAAGAGATCGGAGCGCTACAATTTTTGATGTGAACCTTGAAACACATTGGAAGGAAAATCATGGAAATCACAAGTTTTTTTTGCATTCAGATGTTTTTTTGTTGGTTTTTTCTCAAGGTTCAGTGGATTATTCCACCAAATGGTCATTTCCTTCGAGGGAAAATCCCTTCTGCGAAGCATTTTTGTGAGTGTCATGAAAAGTTTCATGACAAAATTCAGGCATTGGAAAATAGAAAATCATGGGTTCTCAAGAACAGGTTGCCAGTGAGCCACAAAACATTTGTTATTATATTTACAATACAGCTGAGAAGTGCCGATATCTGGCGTTGTGCGCATTTCTGAACACCGTGTCCCCCAGAAATGGGGCTGCCGGGATAATATGGATAGATGTGGATAGTAACATATGGTACCCTCTGGTAAACATACAAAAAATCTATTGAACATCACCATGTTTAATGGGTATATCAACTATAAATGGCCATTTTCAATAGCTATGTTAGTTTACCAGAGGGTGCAACTTCAACAATTCTCTGGTTGAAAAACGCACAAAATCCAACAACCATATGACATCCCTTCACGCCTGAGGAGTCACCGTAACAGTGCACACCTGGTCATCTCAAAATCTCAAAATGTGATGTAGTCATGTGGGCCATGTTGAGGGACGGAATATGACGAATATCTGGAACTAAAATCAGATTTGGCCGTGTTTTGGTAAGCTTTAGTATGCCTTAGTCTGTTTTAGTATTGCATTCTTATCATTGTGTATATTTCTTTATCCGTTCTGAAATCTAAATCATTAACAGAATTATCCATAATCCAATGCTTCGTTTTACTATGCTCTGGTGCAATGATTCATTGAGAAATTTAGCATCCCCTCAGCTCAACATGTCGACCAGGCGGAAGAGGGAAGCTTTTGAGTTACCCCCCCCCCAAAAAAAAGGTGGTTGGGTGGTTAACTTCCCAAAACAGGTGTGTTCGTTGTATGTTGTAATCATTATATTGGCTGCTTTTTGGAGGGTCAATATGTTCCATCCCCATCCCCATCTCCCCATCCCCCATCCTATCCCGCCCCCCCATCCCTATCCCCATCTCAATAAATCATCATAGTTCATCATATTTCTCTAAGCTGAAACAGTCACCAACAGCTAATTTTTGGTTGTCATACACCAACAGGTCATTTTGGGAGACCTCCCCATAGCCTCGACCCTCGACCCATGCAACCCGTCGGATGCCGAGCTGCGACCATTTTGTCGCCCTTCTTGCGACTCTTTGGCCAAATGGCGTTGTGCTCTGCCACTTCCTCAGCGAAAAAGGCAGTTCCCAACGCTGATTTTGAAGTGCCATTTAAATGACAACAAGATATTAATACATACATGTATACTGTATATATATATATATACATATATATATATATAATTATAAATACATACATATATGTACATGTTTTTTTCCAGCATTCAGCCTTCAGCAAGCAGTTGGATTGTCTTCAAACTACTTTTTTTTTGAAGAAACCGTCGACTTGTCTGCTTCGCTGCGAGGTCGGGAACCACTACCCTCTGGTTATTTAACATAGCTATGGAAAATCACCATTTTTAATGGGAAAATCCACTATTTCTATGGCCATTTTCAATAGCTTTTTGTATGTTTACCAGGCCGGGTATATTTCGGACAAACCAAAATCTCTATTTCCATCAGGACCACTGTACCATGGACCACTGGACCGCTGCAGCCTGGTATCTTGTCCAGACTTCCTCACAATCACCTGACCACGAAACCCGTTTTCGATTTCTGTGCTTTTTGCAACTTGGACAAGAACAAAGGATATCAACAAGGATTCCTATAGCATGCTACAGCCATAGGTTTCAGCCCACACTTGAAATTATTCCCACAGTGCGTTTCTAACAACTTGGTGAGCTTTCACATCCAAGACTGAACAGAATTTGGCAAACCAACCTTTAAACTAATGTGCACATCCCGAATAGCTATTCCTTTTTTGGAACATGTATAACATGTTGACATTTTCAAGAATCTTGTTGAGCATTTCAGCTTCAACCTCCGCCTTGCATGAGCCGTCAGCCGCTACAGCCAATCCTATAATCGCCCCATCAAGCGGCACCTTAAAGGGAACGTCGGCTGCGTCACGGTTGTTGAAGTTGTTGACGCAAAAGGTGAAAGTTCCTTGGATCAGAACATGGGGGAACTCTCAGTCTTCAGAATGTCGCAGATGGGTGTGTCTGAAAATGGGGTTGAATGGGGTTTATATGGTTTATCAACAATTGGTGAACGTTTTTCAGAGGCAACATGATGAACTGTGGGATTTACATATGGATTTACTGTGAACCTCAGGGGTAATGACTTCCGAGGATCACTGACCGGGCACCTACGTTGGGGGGGGCGTAAGAACGGCGAGACGGGATAACAACAAATTCCGAGTTCAGTGGAAACATGTGTCGCAGATGCCAGCTGGTTTTCTGCTGATGAACTCCTCCATCAAGAAATTAAGAAGCGCGTCCGATTCATAGTGACTATACTAAGCCCGAAAAGATGGAAAAGTCATCTTTTTGGAGATTGCTATATCCCATAGGATCCATGTATGGTATATATGCTAACATTTGGGGTATATTGATGGTAAATGTTACCATATATAGCATACATGGAACCTATGGGTATTGATCTTTTTGTTTCCTATGATTCACCCGTTGCTTGTGAACAGTTTTTTTGCTACGCGAGAAAAACCAGGCACCAGTTGCTTTCCGTAATTCTACCAGCATTGTGACTATGAATTATAACATAGTAGTGCCCCGTACTTAGCGAAGCTGCTAACATAACTCAAAAATTAAGAGCAGTAGGGTTTCTGGTAGATATATTTCCATAGTCAATGGGCGTTGTAAACATGCATAGATCAACAAATAGCACCTGGGGGCGGGGCACCACTTTGTGAAAAAGTCTCCAGTCTGATTCAACGAGATGTTCTCTGCCGGGTTCTTCTCGATGGTGCTGGCGTTGGCATCAAAATCCAACTTGCATTTTCCCACCTCACGGCAGGGCCACATGTTTTCTTCTGCATATAGCCACCTGGTAAACCCAAGGTTGGAAGCGTTGGACAGCGGGAAATCATTAGGTGAGGATAAGGCTCAAATTGTTTATGACATCCTACTGGTTGGTGGTATACCTACCCCTCTGAAAAATCATGGAGTTCGTCAGTTGGGATGATGAAACTATTCCCAATATATGGAAACATCCCATTAAAATCCATTAAAATCCATTAAACCACTATAATCCATTAATCCCAAGATGATGGGAACGTCATAAAATTCCATGGTTCCAGTCACCAACCAGCCGAAAAAAACGCTTCGATCCTTGGGCCATTGGGTCGCCCTGCAGAGGTACGACTGGGATACCGGGATACGAAATGATACAAACGACGAATGTATGCATGATTATGCATGTATACTATATATATATATACTGTATATATGGGTAAATTATAATATTTCACGAAACTGAATACTGAATCATATATAATTTACCCAGAATTACATAGTTAATTATAATTATATATATATATATATACGTATATCTATTGCAGCAGCAAAGTCTATAGCAGCCGGCCAAAAAGTACATCAAGTGCCAAAAAAAAGAACCAGCGGATGGATTGATCAATCCTCCGAAGATTTCCACACCTACCGCCCCGCTGTGTCAGAAATGGATCTACTAATCCTCACAGCTATGGCTTTGTCAGAAAATAAGGGGATTTCTTTACTGGACATCACTGGTCAACTTACATATTGAATCATATGATATTTGTCTATTGATGGGGAACATGATTTTTCCAAACAACTGTTTTTTTGGGGGGGGGTTTCCCACCATGTTCCGACTGCGAGTGACAAAGCAATGTGGCTTGTCTGAGAATGCCCCAAGAGTTCATGGATTATCATCATCCGGTCGAAAACCCTTCCCAGTGGTGGTCCAAATCCAATTTACCCTCTGGTAATTTAACGTAGCTATGGAAAATCACCATTTTTGATGGGAAAACTCACTATAAATGGCCATTTTCAATAGCTATGTTAAATTACCAGAGGGTACCATGCAACAACAAAAACTGACAAAAAGAGAAACTGGAAACAACAGCCAGTCATGGTTACAATTTCATTTTTTTTTCTAAGCCATGTATCACTGAGGTTTATCCGCCACCCGTCCCAGAAGTGTTTTCGGGTAGCGAATCCCAAGGCTTGGTACAAGGTAAGGCCCCGTAGAGCTTGACTTATAACTTGCTTGACTTATAACTTGCTTATAACTTGGATGTTATTATAATACATTATAATAGGATGTACAATAATTACTATAATAGATTATAATAGATCCAGTAATAGTTAATATTGGATGTTATTGGGTTTGTAAAACAACTTTTTACTGGGTGGTAATTTTTCCGCTATGTTGGTCCAGCTCGGCTAAATTTTTGACACCTCGGACTCCTCGTCTTTCCAAGCCACAGTTCGGACTCCATAGTAGAGCTCAACCTCGGCACAGAGACCGTTTTCTACCACCAAGAACTTGCATTTTGACCAACGAAGATATGCTTGTTTTAAAACTTGCCATTTTCAACAGGCATATATGTTTTGGAACAATGATAACAATAACAATAACAATAACGAAGGATGATGGGGCCCAAATATCAAATAACAATTAGACGACATGGTGCCACAGAGACGTGCGATTACTTGAAAGCGTCACATTAACACGGTCATAGGGGGGCACATGATATATATATATATATATTTATACATATATATATACATAATGTACATGATTGTATAATACATGTACCCTCTGGCAATTTAACATAGCCATGGTATAGATGGCCCATAGAAATAGATGTTTTTGAATGATATTTCCCTATTGTTTTAATGGTGATTCTCCATAGCTACGTTAAATAACCAGAGGGTATTCACCATATGTCTATGTCCACCTTGGCAGTGAGCCATGGCTCACCCGGATCCGATAGGACTCAAAAGAAGGTGCAACACTCAGAAATCTGAGCACAGCTATCAAGGATCCTTGAACACGGGACACTATCTATGAAACTATTGGAACTATTGGTCAACATTGGGTAAGTAAACCAATTCTTAGATGGGATCATCCCAGCGATGGAACATGGTATCTGTTGAAACCACCAAGCCTGATGATGATTTAGTTAACCTTCACTGCTGGGTGATTTAATGTGATTTACCCTCTGGTAAACTCACATAGCTATTGAACATGGCCATAGAACTAATAGAAATAGTGGATTTAGCCATTAAAAATGGTGATTTTCCATAGTTACGTTAGTTTACCAGAGGGTATTACCATGTTTCTTGCGCAAGATTGCGCCTCAAGCAAACATATGTGACATACCGAGTCCATCCACAAAAATTACCGATCAACGGGGCCTAGATATATACCTTTAATCATTGGCAAAACATAACGGCATCATATACATACAATCATGTGCACAGAAAACCACTGGTATCAATGATGGTAATTAGAAGTATGATTTAACGTAAAACACGTGAAAAAATATTTCATCTAACACATGATATCAGCCATTGTATTGAAGTAATCATTGATAATGAATAATTCATTGTCATCCAATATCTGATAAAGGTATCAACAATATCTGATAGTGTTTCACCATTGCTTCGAAACCATTCGAAAAAGTGCAGCCATACGCAGCCCAGCTTCTCCATTGACCCAGGTGTGGATGTCCAAATCCGACCTCAACAAACGGCCAGGCTTCCGACAGCATCGAGCAACGGTCATGTGAACAAAAATCATGTGGATGTATATCTATATAGTCAATTAATGCATATTTATATATAGAATTATATAGATATGCATCATATTATAGACATTTCTAGACCACATCACTCCAAATCATATCATATCATATGTCAATATGAATGCGGATATGATGGGATATGTATATATATATATGTATAGAGAGAGACCAGATTAATTCTTGTAATTCCTTTCTCCACCCAACGACCCTGCGATATTTTTGGGAAGCCACCCGCCAAGCGCAGCAACTGGGAGGACAACTAAGGGCATTTTTGACCTGACTTGTTATGGCCTTCTAGCAATTCAAGACGTCCCTTTGAAAGGGGCCAGAACCAACAACTCAGCACCAAGTGTAACCCCAGAAAGGACAGACAAGTAAAGCATCGCTTATTTTGGACTTGGATTTACTATCGTATCTATCGTTTTTGGAGGTTACTACAGTTCACAGGAGAATCTCTCTCCGCATTTGTTCGCTGGGCGACCGTTCATCATTTTTTTTATCCGTGAGGTATCCAGCGTGCCACCCGTGCCACCCGTGCTGACCAGCTGAGCAACTTGTAGGGTGCACCATCCAAGCCCCACATCAACGTCACGGTGCACAGGGATGCGACGCGATTCTCACGGAGGCGATCCTGTGGAAAAAATCACGTAGCAACATGGCTGGAAAATCTCCGAACGAAAAAAAAAAGTTTCAATGGGAAACTGATGTTTGATCAATTTTAGTGTTTTATATATATATATGTGGTTTGAATATGTTTGAATATGTTTGAATATGTTTGAATATGTTTGAATATGTTTGAATATGTTTGAATGGTAAATCAATAGTTGATTTTCTAGCCATGTTTGATTACCAGAGCGTAACTGCAAGGTCTCTTGAGGTAATTCTCCACATGGGGGCATCGATTCTTTGCAATTTTTGCATGGAAGTATGGCAGGGAATGCTACAAACTTGGAGCTGGTTGATTGCCTGGTCCATTCCAAATGGATTGGTGTCATTTTATCCATTGTTGCATCCTTTTTCACTATGTTCTTTGACCAAGACCCATTCACCACCCCTCATCGCCATTTCCGGGTAGTAAAAAACACATGTTTCATATTAAAAGAACACAGTTCATGGAAAAGTCGACACACATTTTCATCGTGAAAAAGGTCACCTTCTGCCGAGGCGCAGCCACGCGCGACACCTGATAGGTCTCCGGGTTGCTGCGGTCGTCCATCATGGCGCACAGGGCACTGCTGTTCTCAGCACCCTCCATGAAGTCCACTAAGTTGCTGGCCTGCAACAAGGACTTCCACCTTTTTCCATGGAAAATATATGGAAACTCCAATGAATTTGAACACGATCAAGGCACCCTGAGAATCCATTCGTTGGTTCATTGTCCAAACTGGTCCTCTTGGGCGACCCAACATTTTTTCATGGAAACCATAGAGGTTTCCATTGGGTCGACGTTTGGGGCACCGCAATTTGATCAACCCGCCATGCGGAAGTTTAACCAACATTAATCAACAACAATCAAGTTTTCAAAGATTCAACGCAAACGTCTAGTCAGCAAAAGGGTTTTGGGCCACGGTTCATATATGGGCAATAGATGGCAATAGATGGCAATAGATGGCAATAGCTTGTCGTGTATCTCATTGTGTATGTACTGTGTATATATATATATATGTATATATATATATACACACTCAATTACCCAATTAATGACCATTTGGGGTAATCAACAACCAGCCCCAAAAAAAGTTGCATTATTTTTCGGTTTATCATCTCGCTGAATCTATGCTCCAGCGTTCCCCACGCCCCGTCAAGGTATGGTTCTGGTATTTAACCTCCCCCGAGGAGTATGTAGTATAGGTATGCAGGTAGTGTATCAATGGTATATGTGTCGTGTACTGGCTATATATGTATATAGCTTGTGTATAGGTAGGGATAGCTAAGCTATAAGGAGTGCATAAGTGTAGTATATTGCTACGCTGGGGGCAAACATACTATATACATATATATATATATATATAAATATGTAAGTAGTATGGAGATAGTTTGCATTTTGTGGGGAGTATCATATGGGTGAATGACAGAATGACATGTAGTTTGTAATATAGAGAGTATGCAAGTAGTACAAAACATAGGTGATATAGGTGTATATATGTAGTACGTAGGTAGAAGAACGGTAGAAAACAGTAGTTCGGTAGGTAGTGCTGAGGTAGATTGCTAGAATATATAATTAGGTAGTTGGGGACTGGAATGCTGCAAATAGGAGGCTGCAAATAGCATTGAAATGGAGCTTTGGGCTGGAAGGATGGGGACGGACATGGGATGAAATGGGACATGGAAGCATGTATATGTTATATCCTGTATCTGTATTCCCAGTATGGTTTGATAAATCCCGATTTTTTGACGCTTACCACATAAACTCTTATATAATTATATCTTGGACATTTGTTAGTCATATGTCCACCACAGTCATGGCAAAATAACTGCTAGCTGAAGTAGCATGATCATTTTTGATAGTTAAATGACGGTTAAATCACAGTTGTTGATGGTAACAAACCAACATCCATTTGTTGGTTAAGACGCCATATTTGTTTCATTAAATCAGCCATATTTGTGTTGGTTGAAATTATCCATTTGTGTTGACTAAGTCACACGTTTTCTTGGTTAAATCATCAGCTTTGTCTGTTAAATCAACACATGTCTTGGCTGAAATCACAACTTTTGATTACTAAAGAAACACTCTTGCTGATTATATTTTTCTCACAGTAATTCTGAGTTAGATCATGTTAGATCACCATTTTTGCTTGGTGAAACCATCCATCAAAAAAGGATAGCTAGTCTGTTTGGGCTACACCCAGCCGTCCCTTGCCCTTGCTCCGCATTGCTCCGCTCTCCTCCGGCCTGCTGCAGGTCCAGATGGATGGCGTCGCTGATGCGGCCCGTCAGCATGGCGTAGATCATGACCTTGGCCGCGCCGACGGGACCTTGGCGGTGTACCCGGCCTGGTAAACTGTCCCAAAAAACGACGGAAAGATCCACCATTTTTCATGGGAAAAATTCACTATTTTTATGGCCATGTTTAGCTATGTAACAAATTACCAAGGTGTACATTCGGTGGTCCATTCGTTGCTTCGCTGAGTTTTTTTTTACCAACTGGAAAACTTGGTGGTAGGTAAATATCATATAACTAGCTATCATATTTACAAAACTATCCGCCGACCCCAGCCGGATGCTGGGGGAGCGCGCTGGAGAAGGCCTGCCCTGAAGAATGCTCAAGGGACAGACAGAGACAGATAGAGACAGACACAGACAGAGACAGACAGACAGAGACAGACAGATAGAGACAGAGAGACGGAGAGAGACAGAGAGAGACAGAGAGAGAGAGAGAGAGAGACAGAGAGACAGGCAGACAGACAGACAGACAGATAGACAGACAGACAGATACAGACAGATACAGACAGACAGACAGACAGACAGGCAGACAGACAGACAGACAGACAGAGAGAGAGACAGACAGAGAGACAGAACAGACAGACAGACCAGAACAGACAGACAGACAGGCAGGCAGGCAGGCAGGCAGGCAGACAGACAGACAGACAGACAGGCAGGCAGGCAGGCAGGCAGGCAGGCAGGCAGACAGACAGACAGACGCCGTTTGTGAGCCTCGGCGGCTGGAAGACAGCTATAGACAGACAGACAGACAGACAGACAGACAGGCGCCGTTTGTGAGCCTCGGCGGCTGGAAGACAGCTAGATTTTCTTGTAGGTTCAGAAAGTGACGTTAGGCAGTGGGGGCCGTTGCCCGCAGGCCCGGTCCGTCCCTCAGGCCCTGCTGTTTCGCTGTTTCGGACGCGCCGTTTGTGAGCTGCGGCGGCTGGAAGACAGCTATAGATTTTCTTGTAGGGTCAGAAAGTGACGTTAGGCAGTGGGGGCCGTTGCCCGAGGTCCGGTCCGTCCCTCAGGGCCCTGCTGTTTCGTTGTTTCGGATGCGCCGTTTGTGAGCCTCGGCGGCTGGAAGACAGCTAGATTTTCCTGTAGGGTCAGAAAGTGACGTTAGGCAGTGGGGGCCGTTGCCCGAGGCCCGGTCCGTCCCTCAGGGCCCTGCTGTTTCGCTGTTTCGGATGCGCCGTTTGTGAGCCTCGGCGGCTGGAAGACAGCTAGATTTTCTTGTAGGGTCAGAAAGTGACGTTAGGCAGTGGGGGCCGTTGCCCGGAGGCCCGGTCCGTCCCTCAGGGCCCTGCTGTTTCGCTGTTTCGCATGCGCCCGGCAAAGGTGGCAGTCGGCAGCTTCCAGAGCTATTTAAGGGCTTCAGAAAGCAACGTTAGGCACTGGCGCCTGGCCTTGGGACACGCGGTTGGGACCAGCAGGCCCTGCTGTTTCGCTGTTTCGCATGCGCCCGGCAAAGGTGGCAGCCGGCAGCTTCCAGAGCTACTTTTCTAAGGGCTTCAGAAGCAACGTTAGGCAGTGGCGCCTGGCCTTGGGACACGCGGTTGGGACCAGCAGGCCCTGCTGTTGCGCTGTTTCGCATGCGCCCGGCAAAGGTGGCAGCCGGCAGCTTCCAGAGCTACTTTTCTAAGGGCTTCAGAAAGCAACGTTAGGCAGTGGCGCCTGGCCTTGGGACACGCGGTTGGGACCAGCAGGCCCTGCTGTTTCGCTGTTTCGCATGCGCCCGGCAAAGGTGGCAGCCGGCAGCTTCCAGAGCTAGTTTTCTAAGGGCTTCAGAAAGCAACGTTAGGCAGTGGCGCCTGGCCTTGGGACCCGCGGTTGGGACCAGCAGGCCCTGCTGTTTCGCCCGTTTGCCCGAGGCCCGGTCCCGTCCCTCAGGGCCCCTGCCTGCGGTGTTTCGCTGTTTCGATGCGCCGTTTGTGAGCCTCGGCGGCTGGAAGACAGCTAGATTTTCTTGTAGGGTCAGAAAGTGACGTTAGGCAGTGGGGGCCGTTGCCCGGAGGCCCGGTCCGTCCCTCAGGGCCCTGCTGTTTCGCTGTTTCGGATGCGCCGTTTGTGAGCTGCGGCGGCTGGAAGACAGCTACTTGTAGGGTCAGAAAGTGACGTTAGGCAGTGGGGGCCGTTGCCCGGAGGCCCGGTCCGTCCCTCAGGGCCCTGCCGTTTCGCTGTTTCGGATGCGCCGTTTGTGAGCTGCGGCGGCTGAAGACAGCTAGATTTTCTTGTAGGGTCAGAAAGTGACGTTAGGCAGTGGGGGCCGTTGCCCGGAGGCCCGGTCCGTCCCTCAGGGCCCTGCTGTTTCGCTGTTTCGCATGCGCCCGGCAAAGGTGGCAGTCAGCAGCTTCCAGAGCTACTTTTCTAAGGGCTTCAGAAAGCAACGTTAGGCACTGGCGCCTGGCCTTGGGACACGCGGTTGGGACCAGCAGGCCCTGCTGTTTCGCTGTTTCGCATGCGCCCGGCAAAGGTGGCAGCCGGCAGCTTCCAGAGCTACTTTTCTAAGGGCTTCGGAAAGCAACGTTAGGCAGTGGCGCCTGGCCTTGGGACACGCGGTTGGGACCAGCATGGCCCTGCTGTTTCGCCCCGTTGCCCGAGGCCCGGTCCGTCCCTCAGGGCCCTGCTGTTTCGCTGTTTCGGATGCGCCGTTTGTGAGCCTCGGCGGCTGGAAGACAGCTAGATTTTTTGTAGGGTCAGAAAGTGACGTTAGGCAGTGGGGGCCGTTGCCCGGAGGCCCGGTCCGTCCCTCAGGGCCCTGCTGTTTCGCTGTTTCGGATGCGCCGTTTGTGAGCTGCGGCGGCTGGAAGACAGCTAGATTTCTTGTAGGGTCAGAAAGTGACGTTAGGCAGTGGGGGCCGTTGCCCGGAGGCCCGGTCCGTCCCTCAGGGCCCTGCTGTTTCGCTGTTTCGCATGCGCCCGGCAAAGGTGGCAGTCGGCAGCTTCCAGAGCTACTTTTCTAAGGGTTTCAGAAAGCAACGTTAGGCAGTGGCGCCTGGCCTTGGGACATGCGGTTGGGACCAGCAGGCCCTGCTGTTTCGCTGTTTCGCATGCGCCCGGCAAAGGTGGCAGCCGGCAGCTTCCAGAGCTACTTTTCTAAGGGCTTCGGAAAGCAACGTTAGGCAATGGCGC